TGACATAGTCCTAAACAAGATTACCAAAAGAAGTTCAAATTAAACTACAAAAAAGAAAAATTTGCATTGCCCACACAAGCTTTCCCAAAACACAACCCAACAAAGAAAAATGATATTGTGACATAGTCCTAAACAAGATTACCAAAAGAAGTTCAAATTAAACTACAAAAAAGAAAAATTTGCATTGTAAAGGAATGTACCTTCTTTGATGAACTAGTCACTAGCCTTTCACTTCTAAGATATGGGTTGTTATAGATGGAAAAACGTATAAATGTGGGGTAGTATGAGAGAATTGGTGTGTGCAAGTGTGGGGGAAAGAGGGGCGCCATGGCGCCAATGTTACTGAAAATTATTATTATTATTTTTTTACCTCCAACCTACTCCTTTCCCATATTGATTAGAGTGTTGATGCAACCATTTTGAGCATGACCTACAAAATAAAGAAAAAAAAATGAACTTATCAAATTGGCGTAAGAGGAAAAGAACATGTCAAAATAATGAAAAGAAACTTAAGGGATAGAACTTGGGTTGCCTCCTAATAAGCGCTTCTTTTACGTCTTTAGCTGGACATGGATGCGGTTTCAAGTTGGTTCATCAAGGGTAATTTCCTCCACATCCCAGTTTTCCTCTCCATAGTAATGTTTGAGGCGTTGCCCATTTGCCTGAAAGGTAGACCCATCCTTGCCTACTAATTCCACTGCACCATAAGGGAACACCTTGCGGATTACAAATGGTCCTGACCATAGGGATTTGAGCTTGCCTGGAAAGAGTTCCAAGCGAGAATTGAATAGAAGAACCGGTTCTCCTGCCTTGAAATCCCTCCTTAGTATTCTCTTGTCATGCCACATCTTTGTCCGTTCTTTATATATCTTTGCATTTTCATATGCATCGTTCCGGAATTCCTCCAACTCATCAAGCTGCAACAAGTGTTGTGGACCGGCCAATTTCATGTTTAAATTCAATTTCTTCACAGCCCAATAAGCTCGATGCTCCAATTCTACCGGTAGATGACAAGCTTTCCCGAATACCAGATGGTAGGGTGACATTCCAATTGGAGTTTTAAATGCTGTTCGGTATGCCCAAAGAGCATCATCTAGTTTGAGAGACCAGTCCTTCTGATTGGTATTCACTGTCTTTTCCAGAATTTGTTTAATCTCTCTGTTAGACACCTGTGCTTGCCCATTTGACTGTGGATCATAACCCAATGCCAACTTGTGCTTGACATCATACTTAGCTAGAAGAGAATTGAATAGCATGTTACAGAAATGTGTACCTCCATCACTTATGATTGCTCTAGGCGTGCCAAACCGAGTGAAGATATTTTTCTGTAAAAATTTCAACACCACCTTTGCATCATTTGTTGGTGTGGCAATGGCTTCAACCCACTTAGACACATAATCTACTGTGAGAAGAATATACTATTGACCAAAGGAAGGTGGAAATGGACCCATGAAATCAATACCCACACATCAAATAATTCCACCTCAAGCATACTGGTTAATGGTAGCTCATGATGTCTTGAAATGTTTCCAGTGCATAGACAACGGTCACATATCTTCACAAAAGCATAGCAGTCTTTGAACAAATTTGGCCAATAGAAACCAGATTGCAATACCTTTACAGCAGTACGTGTAGGACCGAAATGACCTCCATAGGGTGAGGAATGGCAATGCTGCATGATTGATCGCGTTTCTTCCACAGGGACACACCGCCTAATTATTCTATCAGCATACCTTTTGAACAAGATTGGATCATCCCACAGAAATGACTTGACATCATGTAGGAATTTCTTCTTTTGATGAAATGTCAAGTCAGGTGGCAATCTTCCAGACACTAAATAGTTAACAAAATTAGCATACCATGGGATCTTTGTTGATACAGCTAGCAAGATCTCGTCGGGGAACGTTTCTCGAATTTGATTGTCATCCACCACCTTTTCATTCTCCAATCGTGAGAGATGGTCTACAATGACATTCTCTCTGTTTTTCTTATCCTGAATCTTTACATCAAATTCCTGTAGTAGCAGTATCCATCAAATTAGGTGTGGCTCGGCATCCTTCTTTTGAAAGAGATAACGGATTGCAGCATAGTCCGTGTAAATTATCACTTTGGTGCCAATGAGGTAAGATCTAAATTTGTCACATGCAAACACTACTGCTAGCATTTCCTTCTTTGTTGTTGTGTAATTTAGTTGAGCTCCATTAAGAGTTTTGCTGGCATAGTGGATTGTCCGAAAAATCTTATCATGCCTTTGTCCCAAAACTGTCCCTACTACGTAATCACTAGCATCACACATAACCTCAAATGGCTGATCCCAATCTGGTACTACCATCACTGGGGCAGTGACTAATTTTGCCTTTATGGTTTCAAAAGCCTGTAAGCAGTCTTCATCAAATAGGAACGTTGTGTCCTTTTCCAAAAGGTTACATAGGGGTTTTGCCACTTTTGAGAAGTCTTTGATAAATCTCCTATAGAATCCAGCGTGCCCTAAGAAACTTTGAATGCCTTTGACATTGGTGGGTGGTGGTAGCTTTTCAATTGTATCAATTTTTGCTCGTCCACTTCCAATCCCCTCGCCGAAACATGATGGCCTAGCACAGTACCTTCTTGTACCATTAAGTGGCACTTTTCCCAGTTGAGAACTAAATTCCTTTCCTTACAGCGTTGCATCACTAAGGAGAGATTATGAAGGCATTTATCAAAAGAAGTACCAAACACCGAGAAGTCATCCATAAATACTTCCATGATGTCTTCAACCATGTCTACAAAGATTGCCATCATGCATCTCTGAAAAGTGGCCGGTGCATTGCATAACCCGAATGGCATCCGTCTGTAAGCAAAAGTTCTATATGGACAGGTGAAGGTTTTCTTTTCCTGATCTTCTGGTGCTATAGCAATCTGGTTGTAGCCCGAATATCCATCAAAAAAGCAATAGTAAGAGTAGCCAGCTAATCTGTCCAACATTTGATCTATGAACGGCAATGGGAAATGGTCCTTTCTAGTTGCCTTATTCAGTTTCCTGTAATCAATGCACACCCTCCAGCCAGTTACTTGCCACGCGTTTTATATAACGTGATTTTTATCGCAAGCGCACGGTGTCAAGTTTTGTAGTATATTAAAGAATTAAAAAGTGTCGAACCCACAGGGATTGATATTCGACTTCCACTGAGTACTATAATTGTGTCCGCGTTTACTTTATCTAGACAATCGAGTGTTAAATTAATATTTGAATACTAAATTAACGTCAATGAATTAAATAGTGCAATAAAAGTGAGGCAATTTCTAAAGATTAACTCAATTTTACGTAATGTCTAGGGAGTGATTTCACCATATTCTCGACATAATTCTCAATCCCTATAGATATTTCTATCAAATATTTCCCAAATTCATAGGCAAGAATCCTAAATTAATTCTATTTCCCCCTCTCGAGCGTCAAATAGAACATATCTCTATATTTTAACCCCAATATCTCTATTCCGAATTAAATATATAAAGATTATCACGTACTTGGTTCTTGTTTTACCCTCAAAGATTCGTACTTTCTCTCGAAATCTACAAACCTAGGTTATATTGTTCTTAGATCACGCCTAAATTTCCCTCTCTCGAGCGTCAAATTTAGAACATCAATTCATTCAATTGGTGATCAGGCAAAAGAAAGCATTAAGCAAGAACGATATAAATTCAATTCTGGAAAATTAAATAGAAATACTATAAAGAAATTGAATCATGTCTCAAATAGGTTACATCAAACCCTAGATTTAA